ACAGGACCACCGCTTCGAGTGGACGCGCGCCGAGTTCCGCGCGTGGGCGGAGGGGCTCGCCGCCGAGCACGGCTACTCCGTCCGCTTCGACGGCGTCGGCGGCGGCGCGTGGGACGAGGAGCGGCAGCCTGGCGCGCCCTGCCACGGGCCGGGGCCCTCCTCGCAGGTCGCCATCTTTGAGCGGCCGGGGCTGCGAGAGCAGATGTGAGAGGGAGAGGGCGTGGGAGCTGGGAGAGAGGCGGCTCGTACGTAAAGCCGTACCGGCAGAACACGGGGTTTTCGCTTTACTTTTTTACGTACCGGGAGCCCAACTTGCTTTAGACCGGACACGAGTCACGTTAGGACGACTTTAGCGGTACTGTAGCGGGTCCTAGCGCCTACCGTGGTACGTGGTTGGGTTCACAGCGATTGTATTGTGTATCGCGCGCCTTGCGGGGTGGGGGGGAGGGGCGCGCGGAAAAGAGGAACCTCTTAGGACTTAGCGCCATCGCCATGGTGCTGCAAGCAGCGCCGGGCGACGACGACTCTTACCGCCATGGTGGTCGTGCGCCATTGGAGCGAGGTGCTCGACGCCGGCGCGCGGCAGCGCTGGTGGAGTCAGCACGCGCCGCGGCTGCCGGCTGGAAGCTCTCACGGCGGCTGGCGGCCTCCCACCGGGTGGAAGGCTACTGGAAGTACCTCTTCCGTGGCCTCGACAGCGGCGCGCCGCCCTCGGTGGTCTTCTAAATAGGTACGGTCTGCAGCTGCGCGGGCGCGCAGCCAGGCCGGGTCCAAGACTCGGGTCACATATTCGCTGCCCCCAGAGAGGGACGACGGATATCGGCGCGGCCCTAGCGTGGTGTGCGCCACGGTCCCCCAGGGCACCGTGGCGACGACCGTCGCCTCGGACTGGCTCGCGAACGAGCTGGCCGAGCACGGAGAGATTGATGCGGCATGCCGCGACAAATATGTCATGCACCTGATGACGGCCGCCGGCGCCTCGGCGCCGGCCGACGCCGTGTTCAGGTTCACGGCTGGCGAGGCGATGCAGACCGAGGACGACGACGAGGACACCGGCTCCGAGGAGTATTCCGACGACAAGGCGTCCGACTAGCTGGCTTCACCCATATCTCACCCTCTGCCCCCCCCTCCTGCTACCCCCCAGGCTAGATGTAGTCACAGATAGCCCCACACAGCCCCTTACCCCTTCACCCTCGCCTCGCTGCTTGGTGTTTCTGAACACGTAGACGACCACGCTGTGGGGGTTGTGTTATAGGAGTAGGAGTGGGGTGCAGGTTGTGCTCACCCACGGCACCGGGCCGGTGCTTGCACTTTGAATGCCGTGGGGCTCCTGCCCGTGTCCGGGCGTGGAGATGCGAGGGTCGCCCCCCCTTGCCCCACCACTTTGTGTGTGTGGAGACGTTTACCTTACCTTACCTTAGGAACGCGCCGATCTAATGATATTGGTTGTTGTTGTTCGAAGGGAGGGAGAGAGAGGGCGGAGCGAGCAGAGAGAGAGGAGAGCCTTTGAGCCTTAAATAAATAAAACGGACACCTCTACTAGGAGATGGGTAAAAAGGAACAGGTCCCCGCCCTTGCGATCTTTGTGCAGGGTTCTTTGTGGGTGTGGTCGGCGACTAGCCGGGGTCGTCCTCCCGATGGGGGACTAGCACTAGCCGTCTTCCACACGGTCCCTCGGGTCCCTGCTGCTCCTAATCTCTTCGTACATCCTCCTGCTGATTTCCGCAACGTCCTGCTCCCTCCCTCGTCTCGCCCTGCGCGTTTGCTCCGCCTCCCCGTCGTCTGCCCTGCGTCGTCTGGCGACTGGTCCTCCATAGTCGGTTGAGGTCGCCGCCCTCCTCGTGCCTCTTCCCAACGTTCCCTCGGCGGTCGATGCCGTCTGGTCCGCCTCCGCCGTCCCCGGGTCTGACCTGCCCTCGTCTGCGCTAGCTTCTGTTTCGTCATCACTGATACTCCTCCTTTGCTGTCCCATCTCCTCATCTCTTTCCCGCCTGGGCGGGGCGGTGGGCGGGCGCGCGGTGCGGCATGGCGTGTGCGTGTGCGTGACTGCAACGAAGGACCGCTCGCAGAGGACCATTGGGTTTGTACAA